GTAGAAGCTTTAGAGTGCTGAGGAGAATGATCTTTGGGGGATTGCTGTTGAGGAGGGGGTGAAGCTGATTTGGATTTCTGAAGCGGGGAGCTCTGATGGGGTGAACTTTGATGAGCAGGGGTGCTCTGATGTTGAGGAGATGGAGGAGGTGATGGTGAGCGGTTCCTGATGGGGGTTATCTGGTGACAGGGTGAGGATGGTTTTGGTGTGGGGGATTTCTTGGGTGAGGTAGTTGGTGAGTCTGATGGAGGTTGGGGGCTCTCTGGTGGAGTTGATAAGGGGGTGGAAGGTTTGTGTGAGAGTGATATTGGGGGAGATGGAGTGGGTTGCAAAGTAATCAGAGGAATAGAGGATTCTGGTATTACTTCTAAAACCGTTTCTTCAAATTGCGAGTCTCTCCATTCTCTGATAAGGTTCTGCATTGCCAGAGATAAGTCATTGGCAGTTGATGGCTCTCCCTCTGCACCTGGAATAGGTTTCATCTTGATCAGAGACTCCCTCCTTTTCTTCTCCATCAGCCAGGCATCAAAGGCATCCCTCTCATGATCCTCTAGAGCCTTGACATGCCTCTCTGGTGAGGTTGTAAGTACCTTCTCCTTTCCTTTGTAGATTACCTTCTTCTTTTCAAGGATAGAGTGCAGATATTGGAGGTCAAAGCATAAGGAGATATCATCAGTACCTGCCCATTTGAGGACTTCCTCTTCCTCAGATTCAAACTGGGCAGCTTGAGCAAGTATCTGCTGCAGAGGTCCCATCCTCCACTTCCTCCATGTGAGTACCCTCTGGAACTGTCTGTCTAGAGCAGCATAGGGATCCATCTCTGGGACTTGAGTGGTAAGATGCTCTGATGGAGAGGTAGTGATTTGCAAGTCTGGTTCAGAGGAGGGCTGGACTTCTGATGCAGGTTCTCCCTGAGCATCAGAAATCTGTAGTGCAGATCCTTCTGTTGCGTCAGCCACCTCTGATGCTGGTTCCCCCTGAGGTGCTGATCCTTTAGGGGATGAGAGAACCTTCTTCTTCTTCTTTGCCACTCTGATAGGAGATTTGGAGCTATCAGAATCACTCTGAATGATTGCTTTTCTCCTCCTCTTCTGTCTTAATTTCTTGATAGGGGCCTCATCTGATGCACCTCTTCCTGATCCATCCACCTCTGATGCAACCTTCTCTGGTGTTCCCTCTTGCTGCGTCTGAGGCTTCTTTTTGGGTTTTGTAGGGGCAGGTTTTGACTTAGCAGCTACTTTTTCCCTGTTCTGCTCAAGCCTTCCTTACCTTTTTAGTTCAGCAGCAATAGCTACATGCATTTTGGGAGATGAGGTGAGGAAGATGGTCTTGGAATGGTCAGCTGTTGAAGGATTTCTGAGATCCACTCCTTGATTAGCAATAGCCTTGGAGAGGAGAAGACCATGGCCCATCTTTGTGGTGAAAAGGCCTGTTTTCTTGTCTTTCTTCTCCACTGTTTCAGTGAGGGATTTGTACAGTACCTTCCCCCAGTTGATGTTCATCCCATGATGAACTGCATAGAGGGCCTTTGAGTTGGCGTTGTTCATCTGGTCAGTAGAGCTTGTTTTACACCATAAGCATCTGTGCATGATGCTCATCAAACGCTCAAAATCCTTCTTGAGCAAGTTCTTCTTCATGTATAGTTTATCTACTCCGGTGGCATCTGTCCGGCAGTAGGTTTCAACGAATGTCTGCACAGAGACATCGACTGACTCCAGGTCGATGAGATTGGGAGTATCTTCATCTTGTGAATCGAGTTCGATGTTGAAGAACTCGTTGAGGGCATCAGCATCGATTTTCAGGCTTTTCCCTTGCACCTGAGAATGAATGGCGTCGCCGGTGATGTGGGCGTTGAGGTAGAACTCAGCCACATCGAGGGTACTGAACTGCTCATAAGGATGAGCCACAATCTTTGTTAGCTGGGAATCATTCATTCCTGCAATGACCGCCTTCATTGTTTTCTGGTTTTCTGCCAACAAAGGTAGTGAGGACATGTCAACCTTCATTCCGGTGGCAATGTTAGCCACAAGTGCCTTGGCTTCCGATTCTGAGAGGTCGGAGATGTTAATGAATTTCATTTTTAGGTTCTTGGAAAGATTTGAGAGGTTTGAAGGTTGGAAGTTTAGAGAGATAAAGCTTGAAGACGAAGAGTAAAAATTGCAATAGCGATTTAGGTTTCAGAAAGTGTATATATGGATTTAGGTTAGTGGACGTTTGATATAATTTGCGGTTTCGAGGTCGTATTTAATGGATTGTGGGCGGAAAGCCGTTTTCCAAAAGTGGTAATAACTACCAGGGGTAAAATTGTAACTTCCGGTTTATTGAACAGTCTCGCCCGAAATTTAGAAAATTTTGCTAAGTCCACAGCCCGTCTGATGAATATTAGTCCTTGTATCAGAGAAGGGGTACTCTGATACAGGGTCCGCTGATGGATAAGTGTATCAGAGGTGGGGAATTCTGATGGATCCACATCTGATGCTTCTGCAACTCTGATTCAAGCATCTCTGGGAAGATCATCCATCATTCCCAGTTCTTCTCTCAACTTGTTAAACCTAGCCTCAGAAAGAGGTTTGGTTAGAATATCTGCAAGCTGATCTTCAGTTGGAACATGCTCAATTGAAATGTGCTTCTTCTCCACATGATCTCTGATGAAGTGATGTCTGATTTCAATGTGTTTTGTCCTGGAATGCAACACCGGGTTCTGAGTGATGGCAATAGCACTTGTATTGTCACACAGCAGCTTGATCTCCTTTGCTTGAACTCCATAATCCTTGAGTTGTTGCTTCATCCAGAGCAATTGAGCACAGCAGCTTCCAGCAGCAATATACTCAGCTTCAGCAGTGCTAGTTGAGATTGAATTCTGCTTCTTGCTAAACCAGGAGACAAGTCTCCCACCCAGCAATTGGCAGTGACCGGAAGTGCTCTTCCTGTCCAATCTATAACCTGCAAAATCTGAATCAGAATAACCGATTAGTTCAAAATTACCTCCCTTAGGATACCATAGTCCTGCATTTGGATTTCCTTTGATATATCTGATAATCTTCTTAGCAGCAACTAGATGGCTCTCCTTGGGCCTTGATTGGTATCTGGCACAGATTCCTACTGCAAAAGCTATGTCTGGTCTGCTTGCAGTTAGATAGAGGAGAGATCCAATGATTCCTCTATATGTAGTGGCATCTACATCCTTTCCTTCATCATCAGGTCCAATTCCTTGAGATGCATTCATAGGAATTTTGACTGAGGCCTTTCCATCTACTCCAAACTTCTTGATTAGGTCTCTGGTGTATTTTCCTTGATTGATAAAGATTCCTTCTGGAATTTGCTTGACTTGCAATCCAAGGAAATAACTTAATTCTCCCATCATACTCATTTCAAACTTGCTCTGCATAACTTGAGAAAATTTCTTGCATAATTCTGGATTAGTGCTTCCAAATATAATATCATCAACATAGATTTGCACTAACAGAATATGATTAGCAACAGAAATTTGAAATAGAGTCTTGTCAACCTTTCCTTTAGTAAACCCATGGTTCACTAAGAATAGGGACAATGTGTCATACCAAGCTCTGGGAGCTTGCTTAAGACCATAGAGGGCCTTTCTGAGCTTGTAGACACAAGAAGATTGAGTAGGAATGACAAAACCTGGAGGTTGTTCAACATAAACTTCCTCTTCAAGTTCTCCATTCAGAAATGCACTCTTTACATCCATCTGGTAGACCTTGATGTTGTTGTAAGCAGCATAGGCTAGGAAAATTCTGATTGCTTCCAATCTTGCAACAGGTGCAAAGGTCTCATCAAAATCTATGCCTTCTTCTTGGCAGTATCCCTTTGCTACAAGCCTTGCTTTATTCCTTACAATGTTGCCTTCTTCATCTGCTTTGTTCTTGAATACCCATTTGGTTCCAATGACATTCTGATGCTTTGGTCGAGGAACAAGTTTCCATACTTCATTCCTTTCAAACTGTGTCAGCTCTTCTTGCATTGCATTTATCCAGTCTGAGTCTTCTAGGGCTTCTTCTACACTCATTGGTTCCATCTGAGATATGCAGCAGGTGAACATGGCTTCTCTTCTAGATGCAGATCTGGTCCTAACACCACTGGTGACTTGACCAATTACTTGATTAGGAGGATGATCTCTTAACCAAGTTAGATCAGGTTCTGATATTTGTTGTCTAGGCAACTCTGATGGTTCATCTTCTGATTCTTCATCTTCATCTTCATCTTCATCTTTGTCTATCAGAATTGGATTAGCAGGAGGAATTGATAATACAGGGTTGATGGTGACCTCTTCTGGTGGTTCTGAAGTCTTATCATCAAGATTGATTTTCTGGAGAGTCTCTGATATTTCTTCAGCAGGGGTGCAGTCATCAAACTTGACATGAATGGATTCTTCAACTTGGATAGTTCTCCTGTTAAGTATCCTATAGGCTTTGCTTGAACTTGAGTAGCCTAAGAATACACCTTCATAAGCTTTTTCTTGAAATACCTTCAGATTCTCCTTTCCATTGTTTAGAATATAGCACTTGCATCCAAACACATGTAAGTAGCTGATGTTTGGTTTTCTTCCTTTCCACAGCTCGTAGGGGGTCTTCTGATGATTCTTGTGGATCATGCTTCTGTTCTGAGTGTAGCATGCAGTGTTGATTGCTTCAGCCCAGTATCTGATGGGCAACCCTGATTCAGCAATCATGGTCCTTGCAGCTTCCTTCAGTGTTCTGTTCCTTCTTTCTGCAACACCATTTTGTTGGGGTGTTCTGGCAGCAGAGAGTTGATGGAATGTGCCATTCTGATCACAGAAGTCTTTGATCACCTTGTTGACAAATTCAGTTCCTCTGTCAGATCTGATTGTCCTGACCTTCATGTTCTTCTCAGTCTGAAGTTGCTTTAACAGAGATGGCAACTTCTGAAGAGTTTCATTTTTCTTGGTTAGAAACACAGTCCAAGTATTTTTTTTTTTTTTTTTTTAAAATCAATTGCTAGAAGTCTAGAACCATTCAATTTGACTGAGATGAAATTGAAAAACAGAAGCACAACCCTACATAACGTTTTTCCTGATGTAAAAAGTGAAAAAGATTGGACAAGCAGCAAAGAAAACAAAACCGGCCTTCATTTTTTAAAGAAAAGAAACAACATAAGCGAGCAATCAAACCAATCTAAGAAACAATAATACCAAAAGACCCCTCCCCCACCAAAAACTTATTCAACATATCGTAGATGGTCTCTCTCTTGTTCAGAGATCTCAGCTTCTAGTATCCAAACACCTCAACATGTCCCCAACAATTACAAAAAAAGAACTTCTGTTTCTGATCAGATAAAAAAAACACTCCCTTCTTGATCCCGGGAAACGTCTCTGCTTAGTACCTGTACTGGGCAGGCTTGTAAGGACCCTCAACTGGAACACTGATATATGCAGCTTGCTCAGGTGTGAGTTTAGTAAGCTTAGCACCAAGCTTCCCAAGATGAAGGGCTGCAACCTTCTCATCAAGATGCTTTGGCAAGACATAGACCTTCTTCTCATACTTCCCGGTAGCCCTCTCCTTCCACAGCTCAAGCTGGGCAATCACTTGGTTAGTGAACGAGCACGACATGACAAAGCTGGGGTGTCCGGTGGCACAACCCAAGTTCATGAGACGGCCCTCTGCCAAAATAAGCACACCTTTTCCTGTTTCAGGGAAGACAAATCTGTCTGTTTGGGGCTTAATGGTAATTCTCTTGATCCCTGGGTAGGTTTCGAGCCCTAGCATGTCGATTTCATTGTCAAAGTGACCAATGTTGCAAACAATGGCATTGTTCTTCATCTTCTTCATGTCTCCCACCATGATGATGTCCTTGTTACCAGTGGTGGTGACAAAGGTATATCTTGAGTAGTCATCAACCATAACAAGAGTATATCTTTTTCCACCAACACTGGGAGTTTCAACTGGTCCAAATAAATCCATGTGGATCAGATTTAGAGGACAAGTAGAAAGATCTCCAGCTATGGGTTTGAATGAGGTCTTCACTTGTTTGCCCTTCTGACAAGCACTGCAGAGGGTCTCCTTCTTGTAGACAATGTCAGGCAGACCATCTACAATGTGTTCTCTTGCCAGTTTGTTGATGGTTTTGAAATTCAGATGGCTGAGTTTCTTGTGCCAATCCCAGCTTAGCTTTGAATTTTCTTTTGCTATCAAGCAGGTTCCATCTTTTGCTGTTTGTCAATCAACAACATAGATGTTCTTCCTTCTTTTGGCTGTAAGAACCACTTCCTTGGTTGTCTCATGCTTGACATAGCATAAGGTCTTGGTGAATTCAACTGTGTAGCCTTTGTCACAGAATTGGCTAGCACTCAGGAGGTTGAACTTCAGACCTTTGACATATGAGACATCTTCAATGATTATCTGGTTCTTGATTTGTGATACCTCGAAAATTTAAAATAAAAATATAATAAAAATAAATAAGGATAAAATAGATGTACCTTACTGGTTAAATTTAAAGCAGTATCCGATAAATATAAAACTTAATATGAGAAAATGGAATAAAATAAATGAATAGTAATATATGAGAAAGATGAATTCATAATAATGGAAACACCAACGTACATACTAAATTAATACTAAAGGTTGACTATTCAACATAAGGTAAACAAACGGACATACTCCTCAATTAAGCTTCCAAGCAACGGCTGAATCAAATAAGGATAATAATTAATGAATAAGATTTTTAACTTATGAATCGGCAAGTCTAGAATCTTCCGCGTATGTATATAAATAGCGTGGTCGAGGGAGGATTTCGCACGTAGAAGCCCTATGATTCTGTGAAGCCAAAGCCTAGAAACAAGTCTGTCGGCATCGCTAGAAGAGGAGGAAGCATTGCCGGAGAAAGATTATAACGCCGGAGTTCCGCTGCTGATCAAGTTCCCATGCTGGAAAGGAAGAGGAGCCGCTGCAGGAGAGAACAAATGAGCTGTGCCGGGAGAGAGCAGATCACCGACGTCCGCCCGGCCCTGCGTCGTTTCATTGCTATGTACGGAGAAGAAGAACCGTGCCGCCGGCTCACCACATCGCCGACAGGACCAGCTGCAGTCTACGTAGCCGCCGGAGAAGAAGCTTCGGTTTCCCTGCTCCGCCAGTTGCATTGTCGAAGAAGACGATCTTTTACTAGTACGTATACTCTACTGTTTATCCATATAAATTAAACCTTAGGCCGAACTGTTTTGGTTTAGGCTGGAACTGTACAAGAGTAATAATAATACGAATAATATATTATGACAATAAAATATATTGTACTAATTAATTTATTAAGAAGTAAATTATTAATTCTAGAATCTTAATATTCTTAGAAAAGGTGTATTCGGAGAAGTTCCAAGTAAGAGCTTCATTTATGATTTATCGCGATTTGAGGTAAGTTTCACGTCAACCAAAATTATACCTTTTCCTCGCAAATCTATTTATGATTATTTATTTGAATTATTTGAGTATTTGATGAGATTTCTAGCAATTACATTTACGTATTAAATTAGTTGCGATTGAGATTTTTATTTGAGTATTTGGAATTACTTATGAATTGTTATTGAGAAATTATATTTGAAAATTGAGTATTTGATATTGGATGATATTTTGAGTATTTGAGTTATCGTATGAATTGTTGTTGGGATTATATTTGAGATTTGAGCTATTTATGAAGTATTCTATATTTTGGCTCTCTTGTGAAATTTTAATGTACGATACATTATATTTGAGTGTAATTTGTTGGAGTTAATAATTTTACATTGTGGATTATTTTGTGGAGTTTAGATTTCATATTTGTTTTGGTTGAGGTTGTGATATTGGTTTGGGACTTTGAGAATGAATTGTGATTTTTGGTGAGCACCCGGAGAAATCTGTGGTGTCGGTTTACCACATCCGGATAAATGTGGAATCATTGGTGAGTGGTAATGGCTATAAGTCTAAATCCACCAGGGGTACTTCCCAAAAGCGGAGTATCCCAGCTTAATTGTAGTGTAGTTGGTAGAAAAATCCCGACTACTCGGGCTTCTTACTACCCGGAGGGCTTGGAATCCCTTTTAGGGGGTGTGCACACTTAAGGTAGGAGTTCGGCTTCCACTAGCTTTGATTGGGTTGGAGGTGAACTGGACTTTGATTGGATTGAGGTGATTGAGATTATTTGATTGGCTTGATTTGGATTTGAGGTGAATATTATTTGATTGGATTTGTGGTGAATTAAAGTATTGGACTGATTGGAATTGTTGGATTATTGGATTGGATTATATTTGGATTGAGTTGTTAAATTATTTGTGGGTTTCACTTCTGGATTTGATTTGGTTTGATTATGTTGAGTACTCTTTATTATCAGCATTTATAAGTATTTTGAGATATTTGGTGTTTGATTTATGCTTTGGAATTATTGTAATGATTTTTGGTGGTTTTACGTATATTTGGTATTTTTGTAATTTTTGTGGTTGGGAAATATTTGCTTATTTTTGAGGTACTATTATTTTACTAGTGAATTATGCTATGAGAAGATTTTATAAATTGTTTAAAAAAAAATTATTTTTCCTCCTAAATGTTTTTCAAAAACGTTAAATTTTATTATTTATTATTTTATGGGGTTAGGTGGAACTTACTTAGCATTGTTGCTAATTTTTGTTTTCTTTTGTTTTTCTTTCTGTACTTGATTTTGTACAGGTGACGCTTTGATGATGATGTTGACTTCGAGAGAGCTTCCGCTAGAAAACATAGTTAGTAAATCATTGTAATTCCATTTTCAATATCTTTAGTTAGTGAATAATTATTTTTGGAGTTTAAGTTGTTTTAGCCTGTGCACTTGGTTAAGGGAGAATCGAGTGTGGCGGTAACGCCCCTATTTCCCTTTTGGTTTTCCGCTGCATAACTCTGATGTTTTTGAATAAAGTTAATATTTCTGTTGAATAAAGTATTATTTTTGGGTGGGAAATTTGGGGGTGTTACATGATTAGCTTCCCTCTTCCCTTTGTTTGACCATCCTTGTCATTTCCTCCAAAAGTGACTCGGGGTCCATTGATTTTCTGGAACTCTGATAGGCAACTCTTGTCACCTGTCATGTGTCTGGAGCATCCACTGTCAATATACCATTCTTGTTCTGAGATGGCTCCAACACACAGTTCCTCATCATCAGATTGTGCCATGAGGCAAAGGTCTTCAGTTTCTGCATCCAAGCAGCAGAATGCTTCATCAGAGTCAGAGTCTGAACTGGACTCTGATTCAGAGAGTGGATCTCTCTCAGCTTGCTCTGAGACGAATGCTCTTCTTCTTCTGTGTTGATCATCAGGTTTCTTTTCTTCTTCATGTCCTTGCTTCTTGGACACTCTTGGGAAGGGGCAGTTAGCCTTGAAGTGTCCAGGTTGTCTGCAGTTGTAGCAGAGGTACTCTCCATTGCTTTCAGAAGATTTGGTCTTCTGATGTGGTCTTCTGATGGAAGATGGACTCCTTCCATCTTTCTTCATAAATTTTCTGAATTTTCTGGCAAAGGCAGCCATATATTCATCAGATAGAAGAGTTGAAGGATCAAAATTTGTCATCTTAGAAGTGCTGGCAGTGAGAGCAGTTGTGGTCCTCTCATCCGGCACTTCTTCCTTTTCCTCAACCATCTCGAACTCATAAGCTTTGAGATCTGAGATCAGTCTCTCTGTGGGGTAGGTCTTGATGTTCTTGCTTTCTTGGACTGCAATCACCTTCATTTTCCATGCTGAAGGCAGTCCTCTGAGGATCTTCATGTTGACTTCTTTGATGGTGAGTTCCTTGCCAAGTTCAGAAATCTCACTGATGAGGATCAGCAGTCTCTCATGCATCTTGGCAATGCATTCTTCTGGGAGGAGTTTGAAGTCATCAAACTTCTTCATGGCAATGGTCAGCTTATTGTCTCTCTCCTGTTCATCTCCAGCTCCAATCTCATCCAGCTTGTCCCAGATTTCCTTTGCAGTCTTGCACTTCTTGATTCTGTTGAAGTACCTTTCATCTATGGCCTTGTAGAGAATGTCCTTGGCTATGTTGTCAAGGTTGTATTGTCTCTTTTCTTCCTTGGTCCATTCAGACCTGGCCTTCTCAATCATCTGGGGTTGAGTGTTATCAGTAGAGTGAGCAGGATTGATCTTCATGAACTGAATAAAGGGGCCATTCTCCAAGACTTCCCACATTTCATCATGTAGAGCACATAGATGTGCTCTCATTCTGATCTTCCAATCATCATACTTCTGATCTGTGAACATAAGATGCTTTGCAAGAGAGTTATCCATTATAACAAATGAAGAGGCTAGAAACAAGTGGATCTTTGTTCAGAGAGTAACCTAAAAGATTACAAGAACAAGGAGGCTCTGATACCACTTGTTGGTCCCGTTTGAGTTGGTAATCAGTCTAGAGGGGGGGGGGGGGTGAATAGACTGATTCAAGTTTTTTTCAACTTTTCTCTAAGTCAGAGTTGACTTGACAGAGATGGTCAAGTTCTGATGATCAGAACTGGTCTTTGCAGCGGATAAGAAATCCGGGTAGCCTCGAACAAATACTAAGGCAATTGCCTTTCTGATAACTCTGAGAGCAAGATCTGCTGAACACAGATTCCAAGTCTTAGAGTTATGCAGTTAGAATCCTTAGTGCAGTAAATAAATGCGTAAAGTAAATGACACCGGAGTTTTTATAGTGGTTCAAGGAACAACTCGTTCCTCTAGTCCACTGTTCCACTAAGCTTGTAAGGATCAATTACAACGCCTTAGTCCCTAGCACTTAAGAAGTTCTCCACGCCTTCTTCAAGCCTAGTTGTCACCCGGGATGCAGTCCTGCTTCCTGATGACTGATCCTTTCACTCAGCTTCCTGGAAGTATCACCACTTCACTGCTGCAGTTACTTGGA